TGCAGTGGGCAGTCATAAAATGTCAGAACGGGAAGGGACCTCAAGGATCGTGAGTACTACCTCCCTCATTGTACAGGCAGCTGGGTGGCCCAGTGGACTGAACACTAGACCTGCAATGAACAAGATCTGAGTTTGAATCCAGCCTCAGACACTTATTAGCTGTGTGATCCTTGATGGCAAGTCACTTAGCCTCTGCCTCAGTTACCTCCGCTGTGAAATAGGAGTAGCAACAGCAGCTATCTCTCACAGTTGTTATGAGATAAAATGAATTAACATTCATCAAGTGCTTTGCAAAACTTGAAGTGCTATCTCTATAAATGCAAGGCATTATTATTATTACAGGTGGGGAAACTGAGGCTTAGGGAAGCTAAGTGACTTTCTCAGTGCCACACAGAAGCAAGTGGCAGCCACTAAATGGAATAACTGGGCCTTGAGTGACTCTCCATTACCTAGTGGTCAGGATTGTAGCAGTATTTACCAGAGTCTTAGCCATGATGCTGAATGATAATGATAACTTACTAGAGGCTTGGACCATTGCAATAGATTCCTTATGCCCTAGGTTTAAAAAAAAAAAGTCAGATAATCAATACTCATGTGTTAGAGGAGGACTTGATGTCAGTACCTGATTCTGTCTGATGTTCAGACAACAGGAGACACATGGGTCATGGAACAATTAATACAATTTGATTAATTGAACAATTAATAAAAATTAATTTAAAAAATCTAACAGCAAGGATATGCAACAAAGATGTAGAAAGTGACACTTTGCTGCCATAGTCTCAGCCCCTCTAGATTCTGTATGGATGTGCAGAGTGTGATGGCTTTGGTCTTCTGACCTCCATCAAATCTGAAAGGCAATGACCCCCTGCTTGAACAGGATCTTTTATGCCTCTAGGAAGACCAGAAATCATGTCAACATAGCCAGAAGTTACCCTGAAGCTGTGTCAAAGGGGGAACAGCCTGAGCCTTGCCTCATCCCAAGCTAGTGAAGTCCTGGCTTTGTTCTAACCCATGCTGGGATGGGAGGAGGGGAGAGGTTGGGATGGGAAGGTGAACAGTGGTAGATATTGGTCCTATCACATTATGGAGCCATTCTCTTAGGCTTCTGACTGGTAGCACAACAGCATGACCACAACCCACACAGGAAAACTATGTTTGGCTGAATCCTCTCTGAATATCATTTCCTTGTTCTGAATATTCTTTTTTGATTCATAGTTTGATATGGTGTTTTTTGTTTTCTATTTCCACAGACAATTTATGTAATATAGAAGTTAATTGTTCTTTGTGTGTTTGAAACAATTCACTTTTCAATCTCTCTGAGAGTTTTTGACTTGTACAATTTTTCCCCCTGAGATTGGTTGTTTAAATTCTCTATTTCTTGTTCTGTTAATCTGGGTATTTTATATTTCATAAAGTATTCATTTAATTTATCAGTTTTGCTGGTTATATTATTGGGCAAAATGCTTTACAACCATTTACTCTATTTCTGATTCAACAGTTGTGAATGATCTTTTAAGAAATTTTTGATTTTGGTAATCTGGTCTTTCTCTTTAAAAATAAAATTAGCTAATTGTCTATTTTATCAGTCTTTAAAAAACTACCTCCTAGTTTTATTTATCAACTCAATGAGTTTTCTGTTTCCAATTTTTTTTAGCTATCCTTTGATTTTCAGAATTTTTATTTTTGTATTTATTTGGCCTTTTTGATGTATTGCTTTTCTAGGTTTTTTTTTTAGAAGTTGCATACCTAATTTATCAATCTCTTCTTTCTCTCTTTGCTGATAAATACATTTTACAGATAAGAATTTTCCCTCACGGACTACTTTGTCTGCTTCTCAAAAATCTTCCTTTGTGGTTTCAGTTGTTTTTTTTTTACCTTTCTCTTTCTTTTTTTCTTCTTTCCTTCCTTTCTTTCTTTAGACTTATGATTTCATTAGTATAGGGAATTCTGCATGATGAATCTTTCTCTTCCAATGCAGGTGGCCAAATGTTCTGCAATTTATGGTCTCAGATTGTTGCTCAGGACACTGAAAAGTTAGGTGACATGCCCAGAGTCTCACAGCTAGCATGCAAAACTTGAGCCCAGGTCTTCCTGATTCATTTATTTTCCACTCAAGGCTAATTTCCTAAGAGCCCAAGAATAAAACTTTGGAGTTACATTGTAAGCACTTTGTCATATGCAGTTCTCTTTCAATAATTTTTTTGCAATAGGATTAAGTAAGATTATAAATAAAAAAAGCTGGCAATCTAAGACTAAATTTGAGAAGTCTTGCTGGTTTTCCTGCTGGTGATCTGTGTTTAGAAGAGGTTATTCTCTTCCTATGCATCTGATTTAAGAAATGCTCTGGACAAATTGAAGCACTGCTGTGCCAACTCCTGCTGCCATTTTCCATCCCAGTAAGCTTATTGTTGTACTGGTAGTGTTCACTGTAATTTATACAGTCTCCTTCTCCCTCTCTCGGGGATGCTTAAGTTCCTTTTATTTGGTCTAGATCTGAAAATTCATTGATGTAGCAAACTCCCAAAGAGGAAAAAGCCCCTACAAATGCAAATCAACACCTGCTCTGCAAATGAGAGATTTACAGTTGTCTGAGGCACTGAGAGTTTAAGTGTCTTGTCCAAGGTCATCCAGCCAGTTTGTGCCTAAGGAGACTTGAAACCAGGACCTCTTAATTCCAAGGCCAGTTCATTACTTTATCCCATATGCCACACTACTTCTTTTGGGTTTCAAAAGGTGATAATAGTAGCTTACATTTATGCAGTGCTTTACAAGGTATTTTCCTTACAACATTGTGTTATTACCTCAATTTTACAAATGAGGAAACTGAGGTTCTTGACTTGTTCACGGATACCAGCTTGTAAATGTCAGAACCAGGACCAAATCTAGGCCTTTTGACTCCAAGTTCACTGCTCCTTCTAATAAATAAACGCACCCACACACCCACACAACACATTTGTACAGCTAGGTGACACAGTGGATAGAGCACCAGGCCTGGAGTCAGGAAGACCTGAGTTCAAACTCATCCTGAGACACTACAGGGTGACCACAAACTAGCTGTGTGACCCTGGGCAAGTCACTTAATCCTGTTTGTCTTAGTTTCCTCATCCGTAAAATGAGTTGGAGAAGAAAATGGCAAACCACTCCAGCATCTTTGGGGTCATGAAGAATCAGATATGACTCAAACAACTCAACAACAACAACACACACACAATATCTTAAAGGTATACTCTGTTTCCAGAGTATCTCAGAATCAAAACATCAACTAAGCTGACAGTAAATAATGAGAGATTTCAGGGAAATTATATAATAAATTCTCCCCAGTTGTGTTAAAAGCACCCGGTGATACAGTTTGGGGTTGCTGGGCACCCTGAAATGTCAGGGTATGGGGGGGGGGGTCTGCCTGGAATGAATTCATGAACTCAAACCTTCTTCCAGTCAAAATGGCAAGGTTTACTGTAACATCAATAGGAGCAGTGAAATACTGGGGTTAAGACTGATGCTTATATACAAAAAAAGGACAATGAAAAGATCTGGGTGGGATTAAGGAGTGGTAGATAGTCTGGGGTGGTTCAGATGTGACAGTGGAAGGACTATTAAGTGTCTGAGGTGGGTCAAGAGCCATTGTGAAAGGACTGTCAAGTATCTAGGTGGGCTGGAATGGGCCAGATGCCTTGGTTGAGATGCCAGTGATTTGGGCTGCTGATATACGTGGAAAAATTCAGGGACTGGGCTGCTTTCAAAGACATGGTCTTCTCCTTTTAGGGGTCCAGGTCCCATCACCCCATCACCTAGTATTAAGATGCCAGAAACTTGTTTGCTTACACTTGGTCAATAACTCTTCCAGATTAGTGACCTGGTGGTCAAGTCTCTAGCGTTCAGGGTGCTGGGACCCTAAAATAGCGACGCAGGTCCTGCCTTGAAAGAATTTGACCCAAGCGTTCTTTCAGCCAAAGACAAGGTTTATTAGAATACCAATCAAGGTGAGCATGATTCTAAAAATCTGTCATATTGACCAGACTCTTAAGGAATCTAAGCAATTTAATGGGGGTCTAGATGAACCTTATACACAGAAAGATTGTGGGAAGGATTGAGGAATGGCATTAGGCTGGGTGACTGGTTGGTAACAGAAAAGGACCAGGAAGGGCCAGGTGAGCAAGGCAAATGCTGAAGGGGTCTAGATGGAATTAAGGATGGGAAATGGCTAGGGCCATGGGGAGGTAACAATGGAGGGCTGGGCTATGTTAGAGGTAACAGAATTGGGAGATTGGGTATAGTCACAATGAAAGGTCAGTTGGATTGATGGATACCTCAGCCAAACGCCAGAGACTTGACCATGTGGGAAAGTTCAAGGAAGCTGGGGAGAGGGGTTCCAGGGTCTATACCCTGTCAGGGTCCCACAGCTACAAAGTGACAGAATTGGCCTTGGTTTCCTACTGGACAGCACCAGGGCAGCAGCAATGAGAATTACCCAGATGAGGCAAATAAACTAAAGGACAGAACCTTCTACCCTCATCCCTGAATAGAAATTTTCATTTTGCCAGAAAATGTGAAATTAAAGCAAATTGAGTGAACTGTTTGCTAAATTTAAGCTCTTATCTATCTTAGGATCAAACTTCTGTTGGCCCTGGTCTCTACTTCTGGTTAGCCTCCTCAGACTTGGTGGATCTTGATTTTGACCCTACTTCTGACTCAAAAGAATGCTTTCCATCTCCATTACCTAAGACACTGTTACTGACCTGGGCTTTAATCAGGGGTGGGGGTGGGGAGGTATGCTGGAACAAACACAAGCTGAGCTGGTTGTTAAATTTTCAGCGTGAGCATTTACAAATGGGAAATTGGCAAACACTACAAATCAGGGCTTGATTTATTGTTTTGTTGATTATCTAACCTTTAGAAAGCAGAGAAGAAAATGTTAATAATGAGCTTAAAAATGTGTCTAGCTTGCGCCAACCTGTGTAGGCTGTTTTTGGCTGAAGCATGCCTCTGCTCTCACAAACCAGGTTTGAGCCAGCACCAAGGTGAGCTGATCCTTTCAAGGTGAGCTGAGGGGAGAATGCAGTTAGGACTGGAACAATCAATCCATCCTACTCCATCTGGCTGCCAACAACCAACACCAACAGCCTGAAGAATCAAAGGAGCAGGGCCTGGGAATTGAGATTCAGCCTCTCACCAGCCTGTAGCCTGAGGACTTCCAGGTAGTATGCCCCTGCCAAATAGCACAGCTGGGTCACTTCCTCTTGATCCTTGTTGACCTGACCCCAAGTAGCTTCTTTTGCTTTCTCAATTGCAAATCTTGTTCTGTTTCTGACTTCCTGGAGATTACAAAGACCAATTTGCATTGTCCGGCCTTTTCCAAAGAGAAGCTGGATAGCAGCCAAGACTTAAGGAACAGACCATTCATTTCAATTTGTCATTAAACTTTCATTTAATGGAATATCAGCGTTTCAGGGCACTTGATCATCAGGGGGCCCTGATAAATTGAGCCCTACCCTGAATCCAATGGAAGAAATTATGGGACTTAAGGCCCTTTTAGACTTTACCCTTTTTTACACCTTAAGTGGGCACCCTGAGAGGCCTATTCTCAGATTATAAAGGTCAAGAAACGTGGAGTGGTCCATTTGCAGATGAAAAGGTCAGGAAGTGGCTGAGATGAAGCAGACAGTTTCCTTTGCCCACTTACTGACTGAGATAACAGGACAGAGGAGGGTTTAAAAGCAAAGGGGCCAGTCTTGCTCAGCTGCCAAGTTCCTTGGCTTTCTTTATGTCTCAGACAAAATCTTACCTGCTGGAAGAAGCCTTTGCTAGACCTCCCTGATCTTAGTGCCTCCCCTCTGAGATTACTGCAGTTTTTTCCCAATCTATATCTTGTCTGTACCTAGTTGTTTGCAGGGACTGTCATTTGCCTTTGTATTCCCAGTGACTGGCACACAGTAGGTCCTTAATAAATTTTAGTTTTTTGACTGAGTCAAGGTTAGTTGTCTGCCTCGTAGATGGCAGACCCCAGAGCTGAGACTCCTGTTGGCCCCTAGAGTATGGGCTGTAGTTCTTTTGAAAAGGACATGGTAGTTCCCTAGGCCAGGATGGCAGCTGAGACCAAAGCTCCAGCTGATGCCGATTAGAGCTAAGAATTAAAGCAGCATCCATTGGACCAGCATCTAGCAGCAAATGCTAAAGCGGAGTGTGATGGAGAATGCAAGGCCAGTGCTGAAGGCAGCTGTGTGAAATGCATCAGTGCCCCTGAAGCCCTGCAGTGTATTCAGGAGTAGAATTGCATTTCTTTGCAGGTACCTTGACCTCATGTTCCTTCCTTCTGTGACTCTACTTGTGAACTCTCTGTTTTCACTCTTCCCACTGCCTTTATATGTATTTCAACTCTAGGTAAATGAAGAAGATGTTACATTGTTTTAGTAAATGTCTTTGCTTTGAGTTAATTGTATCCTCTGGCTGAATAGAAAAAAGGTAAACACACCAGTGGGGGCTTTTGAGGTATACTTTTAGGCGTGTAGACCTAGAATACTTGGGGTATTTGGTGTAGATATTTCTCAGGGGACCAAACCTAAAATTGAGCTAGAGCTGGGTGGCTCAGAAGTATACTACATCAGTTAATGCTTCTCTCTGACTCTCACATTCATAGGTACATTCAAGGGAAGTTCTGTGAAGGCTAGTTAGATTTAAGGGAGGTGACAGGGCCACCTAAAAACACAAGCTGGGCCAGCAGGGATATCTGGGTTGTTTCCGTGGCTACTTTTCTTGTGGTGCTGCTAGGTTTCCAACAATATGGTCATATTCTCTTACTGAGTATCCCTTATAAGTAATGGCACAAAATTATAAAACATTTGACAGGAGCTAGGGATCGATTTGTGGCTATTAAATAGAGTAAATCATGGCAGATCACACAGGGACTGAACCATGACTTGACAGCATTTTTATGATGTAGTGGAAAAACAAACCAAGACTATCCCATGCCCAAATTTCTGTAGCTATAGAGATACCTCCAGTTTAACTGAAGTCAAGTAAATGAACCTAATTTAAATAGGTTTAAAATTAAATTTTTTATTTAAGTTTAAAAAATAAAATAGAATAGCTAGTTTTTATGTTAATTTATTTAAGAAGAAACTATTGTCCCAAAATTAAAGCCTTGCAAATGTACTTCACTATGACGATGAGGTGGAATGGCAAATGCTAATGGGGACATGAACACTCTAGGCAGGGCATCTTTAAGTTTTTCCACTCCAGACCCTTTGAGTACTTCTTAAACTGTGGGTCATGACCCCAATATGGAGTCACAACCCACAGTTTAAGAAGGGCTGCTAGGGCATCCAAATAGGGTGTTGACTTCATGGGAGGAGGTGTTATAATGAAATTACAAGTTTTTAAAGGGGCCCTTGGGGGAGGGAAGAGGGAGGGAGGGGAAGAGAAAGAGAAAGAGAGAGAGAGAGAGAGAGAGAGAGAGAGAGAGAGAGAGAGAGAGAGAGAGAGAGAGAGGGAGAGAGAGAGAGAGAGAGAGAGAGAGAGAGACAGACAGACAGACAGACAGACAGACAGAGAGACAGACAGACAGAGAGAGACAGACAGACAGAGAGAGAGAGAGGGAGAGAGAGAGAGAGAGAGAGAGAGAGAGAGAGAGAGAGAGAGAGGAAGGGAGTAATCAGTAGAAAGGAGTCCAGGATGGCACAGTTATGGAGCCCAGAATCTCAATTGTAAGGGACATGAATCCAAAACAAACCATACCAGAGTAAGAATCTCCTCTACATCATGGTGGACAAGAAGTCCTTAGCCTTTGACTGAAGATATCCAATGAAGGGAAAGCCATTATCTCTTAACATACCCTATTCCACTTTTGGATAGTTGTAATAATTAGGGTGTTTTTTCCCCCCAGATGTTGTTGTTCAGGCAAGTCCAACTCTTCATGACCCCATCTGGAGTTTTCTTGGCAATGGTACTGGAGTGGTTTGCCATTGCCTTCTCCAACTTATTTTACAGATGAGGAAACTGAGGTAAACAGGGTTAAGTGACTTTCCCAGGGTCACAAAGCTAGTGGGTGTCTGGGACTGGATTTAAATTCGGAAGTAAGTCTTCTTGATTCCAGGCCAGGTACTCTATCCATTTTACCACCCAACTGCCCCAATACAGATCCTAAATTTACCTTACCCACTTCTCCAGTTCTCCTCTCCTGGGACAAATAGAAAAAATCCAATCTCTCTTAGGAGATAGCCCTTCAAATGCTTGAAGACCAGTTATTTTGTTATCCCTAACTCTTCAACAGGTCAAATATCTCCAGTTTCTTTAACATACCTTCCTAAGTCATGATCTCCATCTAGGCCTTTTACTATCCTTGTTGCCCACCTTTGGACACTCTCCTCCTTCTAATGCCTTTCCTAAAATATTGTGTTCTGAACACAAGCTGAAAACGAACTGAACAGGATAATTCAGATAGATCTGGTCTGGGTAACGATACTATCACTTGCCTGGTCCTAAACCACAGCTTCTTAATATATCCAAGATTGCCTTTACTTTTGGGGCCGCCTTTGCTGACTCATAATGAAAATATGCATAAAATCACCAGATCCCTTTCTAACCATGCCTCTCCCTCATCTAGTATTTATGAAGTTGATTTTGGGTAGGGGCACTCAAGTATAATTGTCCCACATTTCCAGGTTGTGGAGATCTTTTTTGGCTCCTTCCTCACTGTCATCCAATGTCTTACCTATTCCTCCTAGCTTTGTGTTGTCAGCAAATTTTAGAAGTGTGCCCCTGTGGTTTAGGATCACCTGCTGGGAGCAAGGGCCTCTTGAGCCAAGGACAAGGCACAGAAGCCCCCAGGACAGTCCTGAGGAAACCCTCATTAAAAGCCCCAGAATGAAGGGTGAGAAAGATCTGAGAGGGCAAGTCCCAGAACAACTGGATTATAAGCTCTATCAACTAAGGGTTATTTTGTGAACTTTGTGATAAGTCTTTGGGAAGAGCTGGCTATAACATGAACCAATAGCTAGAGGAAGAATAAAAATAAGACAGCTTAGAAGACATTGTTTAATAATTCAAACCTGTGCCAAGCTGAGTAAAAGAAGACCATGTCCCTATACTTTGCTGAAGCCATGGAGATTCCTTCATACTGTAGTAAAATAATTCCCTTACATGGAGCACATTTGTGCTATACTACAGTGGACACTGTGAAAGGAATAGGCACATCAAAGAAAAGAGAGAATTATAAATCTCAGGGCTTAGTGACGTAGCAGCAGAAAGTTCTGCAAAGATAATCAAGCATTATTAAGTGCTTCCTGTGTGTCAGGCAACTGTACTAGGTCCTGGGGATACAGTCACTATCAAGGAGCTAGCCAAGTTGCTCTTCCCATTTAGGGCCTTTCTTGGAAATACCTATTTCATTACAGGCTCTCTGGTCAACCAAGCTATGAAAATATCTATTCAAAGTACAGAACTCCAAAGTTCATTCAAATCTGTAGATCTTCCTAGAGGGTTACCTCAAAAATTAGATTAATTGGATGCTTTAATATTGGGTTAGTAAAGCATTAGTCAAGAATACTAGGCAATGGGGCAAAGCCAAGATGGCAGAGCAAAGGCAGGACCTTGCCTGAGCTCTCCCAAATTCCCCTCCAGGCAGTTTTAAAATAATACCTCAAAATGAATTCTAGAGTGGCTGAACCAAACAAAAAGTTGGGATGAAACAATTTTCTAGAAGGTCAGCAGGAAAAGTCTGTCTCCCTACAGTGAGAGTGGAGAGTAGTCCAGTGCAGGCTGGCCCAAGCAAGCCAACAGCTGGCCTTGGGGGTGACTGAATAGATAGCTGCAACTTCCAGAGATCTCAGACCACAGATGGTAAAAGGGTTGGACAACTGGTCGGAAGGAGATTACAGGAGACCCTTTGCTGGCACCAGGTACAGGACTCTGTTGTGTTGCCCATGTACAGTTCCTGGTGGCAGTCCCAGGGTGAGAAGGAACACTAGCACACTACAGCCTGTGGCCACAGGGGAGCAGGAACCTTGATCACAGTTCCAGAGCAGAAAAGAGTGCTTGTGGTTGCTCACAGACCAGAGCATAGACCAGGAGAGCAGTAACCACACCTGTCTTTGAAAGAACTGAAAACTTACCGAACCCTTAAACTAGCTCAGAAAACAGCAGCACAAAAAACCTGAATCTTGGGACAGTGAGGTTAAAAGTCAAGAAATATGCTGGGGAAAATGAGCAAACAACAAAAAAGGAACCACACCAAAGAAAGTTATTATGGTGACAGGGAAAGTCAAGACACAAATTCAGAAGAAGACTACAAAGTCAAAACAGCTGCAATCAAAGCTTCAAAGAAAAACGTGAATTGCTCTCAGGCCCAAAAAGAATTCCTAGAAGAGCGCCAAAAAAAAAATTAAAAATCAAATAAGAGAGGTAGAGGAAAATTAGGAAAAGGAATGAGAATGATACAAGAAAATCATGAAAAAAAGAGTCAACAGCTTGGCAAAGGAGACACAAAAAATACTGAAGAAAATAACACCTTGAAAAACAGAATAGGTCAAATTGTAAAAGAGGCACTGAAGAGAAAAAAATCCACTGAAGAGAGCTCCTTAAACAATAGAATTGACCAAATGTAAAAAAGATGTACAAAAATCCACTGAAGAGAAGGACTCCTCAGAAAACAGAAATAGCCAAATAGAAAAAGAGGTACAAAAATTCCCAGAAGAAAAGAACTCCTTAAAAAGTAGAATTGTCCAAATGGAAAAGGAAGTACAAAATCTTACTGAAGAAAATAATTCCTTAAAAATTAGAATTGGGCAAATGGAAGCTAATGACTCCACGAGATGTCAAGAAACAATCAAACCAAATCAAAAGAATGAAAAAATAGAAGAAAATGTGAAATATCTTATTGGAAAAACAACTGACTTGGAAAATAGATTGAGAGGTAATTGAAGAATTGTCGTACTACCCAAAAGCCATGATCAAAGGAGCTTACACATCATATTTCAAGGAATTACCAAGGAAAAACTGCCCTGATATTCTAGAACCAGAGGATTTAAAATAAAAATTGAAAGAATCCACCAATCACCTCCTTGAAAGAGACAACAATGAAAACTTCCAGGAATATTATAATCAAATTCCAAAGCTCCCAAGTCAAGGAGAACTATTGTAAGCAGCCAAAAAGAAACAATTCCAATATCTTGGAACCACAGCTTCACAGACTTGGAATACGATATTCCAGAAGGCAAAGGATCTAGGATAAGAACCAAGAATCACCTATTCAACAAAACTGAGTGTAACCCTTCGGGGGGGAAAATGGATATTCAATGAAATAGAGGACTTTCAAACATTCCTGATGAAAAGACCAGAGCTGAATAGAAAACTGGGCTTTCAAATGTAAGGCTCAAGAGAAGTGTATAAAGGTAAACAGGAAAGAGAAATCATAAGGGATTCAATAAGGTAAAACTGTTTATATATTCCTACATGGGAAGATGATGCTTGTAACTCCTAAGAGCTTTATCATTATTAGGACAGTTAGAAGAACTATACATAGACAGAGGGCACAAGTGTGAGTTGACTACGCTGGGATGATTATCTAAAAAAATAAAATTAAGGGATGAGAAAGAGGAATGCACTGGGAGAAGGGGAAAGAGAGAGGTAAAATGGGGTAAATTATCTGACACAAAAGAGATGTGAAAGAGCTTTTACAGTGGAGGGGAAGATTGAGGGGTGAAGGTGGCAGGCAACCCTTGAACCTTACTCTCATTGGAATTGTCTCAAAGACAGAAAAACATACACACTGTTGGATATAAAAATCTATCTTACCCTATCATGAAGCAGGAGGGGAGGGTGGAAGAGAAGGAGGAAGTGATAAAAAGGAGGGCAGATTGGGGGAGGTGGTGGTCAGCAGCAAAACAATTTTGACAAGGGACAGGGTGAAAGGAGAGAGGATAAATGAGAAAAAATAGGATGGAGGAAATACATAGTCATCATACCTGTGAAAAATATTTTAGAGCAAGTTTCTCTGATAAAGGCCTCATTTTTCAAATATATAGAGGTCTGAGTCAAATTTATCAGAATACGAGTCATTTCTCAATTGATAAATGGTTAAAGGATATGAACAGTTTTCAGACAAAGAAATCAAAGCTATTTATAGTCATGTGAAAAGATGCCTAAGTCTCTATTGATCAGAGCAATGCAAATTAAAACAACTCTGAGGTTCCACTTCACACCTATTAGACTGGCTAACATAACAGAAAAGGAAAATGACAAATGCTGGAGGGTATGTGGGAAAATTGGGACACTAAAGCACTGGTGGTGGAGTTGTGAACTGATCTAACCACTCTGAAGAACAATTTAGAACTATCCCCAAAGGGCTATAAAACTGTACATACCTTTTGACCCAGCAACAGCATCAACAGGTTTGTATCTCGAAGAGATTTAAAAAAAAAAGGAAAAGTACAATATGTACTTTATGTACAAACATGTACTATATGTACAAAAATATTTATAGGGGCTCTTTCTGTGCTGCCAAAGAATTGAAAACTGAGGGGATGCTGATCAATTGGGGAATGGCTGAACAAGTTGTGGTATATGATTGTGATAGAATATTACTGTGCTATAACAAATGATGAGCAGGATACTTTCAGAAAAACCTGGAAGGACTTATATGAACTGATGCAAAGTCAAGTGAGCAGAACCAGAAGAACATTATACATAGTAACAGCAATATTATACAATGATGAACTATGAATGACTTAGCGATTCTCAGAAATACAATGATCCAAGATAATTTTGAAGGACTTATGATGAAAAATGCTGTCTGCCTCCAGAGAAAAAACTGATGATGTCTGAATGCAAATTTATGCATACTTAAAAAAACAGTTTATTATTCTTTTTTTTTTCTTTTGGGAGGGGTGTATGTTTGCTTTCACAACGTGACTAATATGGAAATGTTTTGTATGACTACACATGTATAACCTATATCAAATTGCTTGCCTTCTCAATGAGGGGGGAGAGGAAGGAGGGAGAGAATTTAGAACTCAAAGTTAAAAAATAAAACAAATGTTAGAGATTGTTTTTTATATGTAATTGGAAAAAATACACACACACACACACACACACACACACACACACAAAGAATACTAGGCAATGCCTAAAAAAAGGGAAGACTACTTTTACCCTCTTGTGATTACTCCTTAAAGTTCTGTTTAGCCAACCATGTAGCTCAGGGGTGGGGAACCTGCGTCCTCAAGATCACTTGGGACATTCTAAGTCCCTGGGTGTGTCCTTTTGACTGAGTCCAAGTCTTACAGAACAAACCATTTTATTAAGGGGATTTGTTCTGTGAAGTTTGGATTCAGTCAAAGGGCCACACTTGAGGACACAGAGGGCCACATATGGCCTTGAGGCCACAGCTTCCCCATCCCTGAGTTTCTAGCTGTTCACCTAGTTTTTCCTTTAACTCATTCTATAGAAGTCATACACAGATCCTGTTCTATTCTTTATGAAATCCCTCTTGCTATTCTGTAAGATACAATTTCAGACACTGAGAAGCTGTCTTTCCACCAGTGTTTGTTCTTAGCCTAATGTATTTGAATTGCTGTAGGCCACTGATAATAGAGATAATGCTTCTCTGCTGTTTTGTGCCAAGATTTTCTTTTAGTATCTGACCAAGTCTCATAGACCTCTCTTTGATGTGTTGACATCTCATGCCCAATAGTTCCTTTACTCCCACGCTACTTTATACTCTTTTCACAACTAGTCATCAGCTATCCTCTCAGATATCTCTCAGTTCTTAATCTTTGGTCTGAGCTACACATTCATTGCATAATTGATGGAACAAAAAAGATTAAGGGGAAGGGAATCTGAGGAATCCAGCTGTTTACGTGGCTTTGCATTAAAAATATCTCTGGATGGTCACTGTGTAGTTTTGCTGAACTGCTTTCCCACCTTTCCCCCACCCCTTTCTTTTTTAATCAATTACAAGGTATATCTTTCTGAGGAAGAGAGAGAAAAATGACATATCTAGAAATAAATTTAATACAAAAATGAAAGGTACCAATAAAAATCACATATACACACATGGATTCATACATATATACACACACGCCTGGAGTATACACGGCAGCCTTTGGGTATATGTAAGTTGAATTGACTTTTTCAGGTGGATCCTATCATTTCTCATTCTCCCTTCACATACCAAATTTGTCACTCCATTTTAGCTCTTAGGGCCCAGTGAAATGATAAAGAACTTATTAGGGACACTGGCCCAGCATATATATTATGTCCTCTCCTCGGTTTCTATTTATTTCAATATTTGTCATTTTTAGGGACCAACCTCAGACAAAAGCGTGTGGATTTAGAAGATATCTCCAAAATGACTCCGTGGAGATGGCCTCCAGTATCCTTTGGTTTGCCTCAAAAGCATCATGTAATACAATTTTCAATTCATTTCAAACACATTTTATTTTAAAATATCAGAAAATTAACATTCAGCAATGGTGTAATACAAAAATGCACTAACAATGTATTCAAAATACATCTAGTTGAAAAGATGTGCTCTTTGAAAAGGTAACCCACAAGGAGAGAATTTAGAAATGAGTCTGTCAAAATGCTAAAGCAAAACAAAACTCCAGTCACTTGGTGGTTATACTTCCTATGAACAGGTATATTATAATACCGTATACATTTACATGTATACAGCACTTTATAATTTCAAAATTCCTAATAAGTTATTTTTTATGAAATGTGTTAAAATATACATCTGTTGTCACATTTGGAGGGGCAGGAGGACACTTTCCATTTCACATATGTAGAATTGATTTCAATTCATAGTACTGAAAACAGTAAACATTGACATTTATCATCAAGCTTTTGCAACATGGTATTATTTACATGATATAAATTAGACAGTAGTATCTTTCATTATTAACATTATCTAATACCCATACATAAGTCATTTACAATCACAAAATTCCTGTTTTCACCTTTAAAGAGCTTATAGTCAAAATCCAATAAATACTATTTAAAAGATCCACATCCCTAATCCTTGGAAGGGCAATGTCAGGACAGAGATAATAAATGTTGAAAGATTTCATAACAGAAGTCAGGTTTTAAAGAATCATCTGAAGAACAAGGGAGTGGGACACCTGTTATACAAAGGTATTTGCAGGTTTTCCCATATCCTTAAATGACAGAGGAGTAACTGCAAAAGGCCAGAAAGAATAGACTGAAAAATAGCAAGTACTTCATAGTCTTGCGTCCAGCACTCAGCTCACTGTAAAAGCTTCCCAGACATGACATATTCGACCTGATTATCCAATGTCTAAAAGAGGTTAATAAGAAAAGAAAGTGCAGCTACTGCATTTTTGTACTTTACTCGGTAGGCAACGGGGAGCTAGAGAAGGTTTTTTGAACAGCGGAGTGATATGATCAGAGCTGTGAATTAGGAAGATTAATATGAGAAACTGTGCAGAAGGAACTGGAGAAAGGGACATGTTGATATTATCCTCCTTCTAAGATTATATAAATTCCTTAAGGGTAGGACCAGGCATCATCTATCCTTGTATTTCCCCCTGTGCCTAGCACAGTCTGTTGCATTTAATAAACCACAGGATCATTGGAATTAGAGCTCAAATGAATGGCTCTGTGTTCCCATTTGTATGTGTCAATAAAGTGATTGATCAATAAAGGAATTTCTCAATGCACAGGTTCACCTCAAGAGAAGAGAAACTGATCTAGGTTATGGACTGCAGATTTAGAACTGGAAGTGACTTTAGAAGCCATCTAGTTCTCCCCCCTCATCTTACAGATGAGGAACTGAGGCCCAGAGAGGTTAAGGGTCTTGCCCAGGTCACACAGCTGGTCTGAGGCGGAATTTGAATCCCCGTCATCCTGATTTCAAGACTAGCACTTTATCCACTGCCATGATCCACCACTCCCCCATCTTGGTTTCTGTCTCAACAGCTGTCTATTTCTCATTGCCACCAATAGACATCAGTAAGCTCTGGGAATGAGACAGGCCTTTGCCCACTTAAGTTAGTCTAATTAGTTACAAAAGGAACCTCTGGCAGAATCACTGAAGTATCTCAGAGGGTGACTTATTTTTAGGATCAAAGGCTTTGGATGAGCTATATTTGGTCAAAATGCTTGGAAGGGAATGTGAAAAAAAAAAGAAAGGAGTAAGGGAGAAAGAGAGGGAGAGATGTCATCTCACTTAGCAGCAAGCAACATGTCCCATAAAATAAATCAAAGTGCATTTCACGTATGATTACGGAACAAAACCCAGAAATAACTATACATGTAATAATACAGTCAAGTATCACCATTACAATCATCCAATTAGGTGGTTTTTTGGGGCATAGATAACTACTTCTGTAGGTAGTTACTGAGGCAGCCTTTGAACTAAGAAAGAACACTCAAAAACACTGACCTAAATTCTGCAACTTTGCAAGGGGAGTTTGGTAAGACTCTCTAACTTTTCCTCAATCATCTTACCTTCTCCCACATTTCCCTCCTTTCCCTATCACAGCTACATAAAAATAATTTGCATTTTAATTACTTATCTTAATGAAAACTCCATTAACCAGCTCCAAGGAGCAGAAAGTCTCAGCACTATTACTACAAATCCTCCACTCTAGTTTGACTCTGATGTTACCAAATGGAATGAATCAGTTGTCCATGGACCCTGGGTTCTCAAAGGCCCATGAGACCAGGAGACAAACTCTGGAAGATTCTCATTTAGCTTTGACCACAGCTGAAGGACAGACTTTGTGCTTGTCATCTTAAGTCCAACTTAGGAAAGTCGAGAGAGGTTTATCACCAGAGGATTGACCACCACATGAAGACTACAGTAAGTACTGGCTGGGAGAGGCTATAAGATGCACTAGTGGGGAACTGTCCACACTAGTATCATCATGGGTCACTGAAGTATGATATAAGAACTTCAGAAATTTTAACTGTTCGCTTGGAAAACATTTCTTCATTTTGTAGTTACACTAAGGGGGTAAACAGAGTTTCTAAAGTTTTAAAACTTACCTACTTGAAATCATAGATTCAGAGCTGGAGTGGGCCTTAAAAGGCATTGAGTCTAATCCCTCTTCCCCATTTTTATATCTGAGGAAACTGAGGTCCAGAAGGTGAAGTGATTTGCCCAAGGTCATATAGAAGTGCAAGTGGCAGCACCAGGATTGGAACCTGGGCCCTCTGATGCCAAATCTATTGCTCCATGGTATCACATTCTGGAACAACTGCCATGGGCATAATAAAAATGATCATCTAGTTGTTTACTTTATTTTTTTCTAGATATTTACTTTAGAAAGCTGCCATTTTCCACACCTCCTTTTGCAGAAAATTCACAGTGACTCTAAGCATGATAGTTCCACAAGCTATATCAAAAACATAGAAGGCGTCTATTCTAACAAAACTGCACCTTGGCCCTGGATTCCCAAGGTTAATTCTTCAAAACATCAACTAACCCTTACGTAAGTTTAAAAGGAATAGTTGTGAATAAAAAAATTGTGCTGTCCAATGGTATCACAGAGTAATGTGGGACATACAATCTCAGGAACACCTTGGATCTTCAACTTTACCCGCAGAGTTTCACCACCACACGTGTTCATTTCAGCAGTTTTTTCAGTCACCCTGAATATAAGGTGAGCTAAATTATGATATGGCAGGAAGTTGGACTTTTCTTTGAGCTCTTCTGAGGTAGTAGACAGTCCTCCCTCCTACCCTTTTAAAAGTTTTTTAAAAAACTAGGCAACTGAAATGAGAGAGAAATGGAATGTTAATTACTGGACTTAAAGACCATCCAAAATGCATTGTTGCCTTCTGTGTGCTCTGGCCAAACTTCCTTCAGCAGTACTTAATTAGTAGCATGTATCTTCAGACCACTTGAAATGTAGTAATTAGATACTACTATGAAGGTCTCAGGGTCACTATAAAAATACCACAGAGGAATTCGATGGGAAGTTTCCCAAGGGCATGATATGCCTCATTATTATAACTTGCCCTTTGACGCCTAAATATTTTGAAAGTCACAAAAACTCTATCCAGTGGAATTGCGATAGGTGTGATACACACAAGCAAATTACCACTATACACCAGCTTATGACAATCTTCTTTCTATCCCCATGTATCAGACATCTTTCAAAATATGGGAGAATAACATTTATATAATTATAATGATGTTATATATCATCATATGTTATATTAAAAGCAATCATCACTTCATCACGATATTTCTATCATGGTGGCTCTGCAGTGATGCAGATGTGGGACTTCCAAACATAAATAATTTTTCTGAAGATAAACGGACCCACTCTCTCTGTTGTTCTTCAAGCTTTTCAGCCAAACATTTTATTAAAACTGGGTCCACCTTGGAGTCAAATTTATTGGCAAACCAGTGTCCGTATTTCATAAGCCATCTTAATTCAGCTGCCCCATAGATACATACACTACGGAGATGAGAGCCAGTACAGGGTGGATAGAAATGGTCTTCCAGGTAATTCCATTTGACCAGTCGGGTTTTACTTTGTAGATCTGTGACATCTTGTGCTGATCTGGAAATCTCCCCAGGTATTCCTGGTACTCGGATCATGGTGGCCCAGAAATGCTCATCTGGGGAGTATGTATCTTTAGACCACTCAAAAAAGTCCTTAGCGAGGGGGTTATTGAAAGTATAGTTAACGAAGGCTCGGCTTAAAACAAAATAAGCACTACCCACAAAAATCTCAATGTTGTGGGGTGGAGCTTCCTTGGAAATGTTTGTCCTTACAGGCATTAGCATGTAGTCATAAGGCACAATTTTGAGTTCATGATGATAAGTGAATCTTTCCTTTTTGCTGTTACTTGGCTTCACTGACTCCAGCATATTTGCCCCATTTAGTTTCTTCAACTCAGTTACTAATTCAAAATTTGATTTTAAAGGAAAATCTTGTCCACACAGGTTAATAACATACTTCCATGGAATGTGGGATTTCAACAGGTCAGATAAGCAATTAAAATCAGCTTGGAGCCTGGATATGTGAGCATATTCCACTGTCTCTAATTTGGAAGCAATGAAAATGTTGGAAAAGCACCTGGCTAAATTGTCCATGGCTAGTTTGAAAGTATTAGGTGATTTCTGATCATAATGGATACAATAAACATTGTGACTGTTGTATATTGCATGGACTAGCCTTTCAACCATGATAGCATCTTTGTGAACTACCAAAGAATAAGCTATTGGGAATTTTTTCTCTGCCACTGAAACAGGTTTCAGATGGTATCTTCTTATGGCCCGATAGACCTTACAATCTCTGGTCATTTCTACGACATCTTCATCATCTAAATCAATGATGTCTTTCCTCCTTATCTCCAATGTCTTGCCAATCTCCACAGGCTCTTGCTCATAAATATGGGAACAGTTAATTTTATACCAGGATTCACCTCTGACAAAAGTATACCTGTTTCTTACATATGATGACATGCTTAAAGATCGTTCGACTAAGTAAATGCCTTTTCCGGAGAAGTAGGATCTTTTCACGTTTAAAAGTTTCAGTAAAGAGAACAACCATAGTGTCAAACACAGGATGAAAATCTTCTGTCGCAGAGGGTATTTAGAAGAACACATGTATCCCTTCATTCTGTAAAAAGAGAGAAGAATTCAGTTGCAGTAGTAAAGAAAATTAGATACAAATGCATGCTACAGTATCCTAACCTAGATCCCTAGCATACTACTTAGTAGATGCTTAACAAATATTTGTTGATTTATTGAATGAATTTACTAACTCTTTTGGATAATTTTTTCCTGATGTTTAAAACTTTTAATTTTGCTTTCTTGTCTTATTTCTATAGCTACCTATAGAAATTATTAAAACTATGTAAAACATTAGTGGGAATAGGGGTAGTCTTATTTTACACCTGTTTGTATTGGGAAAACTTCTGTTATTTGCCATTACAAATAATGCTAGCTCTTGACTTTAGATATGTACTTTTAATCATATTAAAGAAGAGTCTTTCTATGCCTATATTTCCCAAAAAATTGTGTTGCATTCTGTTAAAAGTTTTTTTCTGTGTCTACTGATATAATTGCGTAGTTTTTGTTGTTTATATGATTAATTGTGTTGCTTTCCTATTAAATTATCCTTGCATCCTTGGTATGAATCCACTTGGACTGACTATCTTTAGGGGAGAAGCACAATAAACATAAACTGATGATGTGACTATTTTAACCCATTCCATTAGAAACAATGAATATCAAAACTGACAACTAATTTATAGTAAGTAATCACCAATACCCATTATTTAAAAAGCAGACTGCAAGTTTCTTTCCCTAACCTCCACTTAATTTTCAGCTGAGGAATCTCTAATTTGACCTAAGGCACTACAGGGAAGCCAATCAAATAAATTATCTCCCATAAGCACAAGAAGCACTTGTGGCAGAATCCTTCCAAGTCCACTCTTAGGCCCTCTCCTTCCTCCTTCCTCTTACTTACATCCCTTGAATGCTTTATGAATGATGACTATGTCCTATAATTTATTTTATAGGCTTCAGAGACAGAAAACATCTTAGAGACCATTAGTACAAACCTGATATAAGCAGACGACCAGGCTACACGAGCAGCAAACTACTCAAGATGAGCATTCCAAGTGAACTATTTATAATCAAATTAGTCTTTATATGTTGGGGTTTTTTTTTTTGTGAGGCAATTGGGGTGAAGTGACTTGCCCAGAGTCACACAGCTAGGAAGTGTTATTTGTCCGAGGCGGGATTTGAACTCAGGTCCTCCTGACTCCAGGGCCGGTGCTCTATCCACTGTGCCACCTAACTGCCCGCTAGTCTTTACATGTTTTTAATGATATTAACAGTTACTATGCTTTGTGGTAATTAGGTACACTCAAAAAGCAGTTTATATAGATGGCTAGGTGCTATTGCTTTTAAGCTGACAAATGACACTTTCCATTTTTTCTCTTCTTACTGTGTTAACAAACAACAAACTAAGCAGGTACTCTGCACAACCCCGCTTTCTGCTGTTTCTCCACTGACTGCAGTATCCTTAATTAGATTAAATGAGGACGAAGATAGTTAACAGCTATAGATAGTGCTTAAAGGCTTGCAAAGTACTTTTCAAACACTGTCCCATTTGATCCTTATTATCTTGTAAAACTGGTGCTATTATTGTCCCCATTTTACCGATGGGGAGCCAGTGCCCTGCCCAAAGTCACAAAGCCAGCAAGTGACAGAGGTGAGATTCAAATCAAGATTTCTTCTGACACTGCCTCTTGGGAGTAATAATATTTACATTATCTACCTCGAAGAGTTAGTATAAGGATATAACATGCTTAAGTTATTATATATTACTAGTATGTCATTACACAGATGAAGAAACAGGGCTAGAGAATCTGTCAGTCAATCAATAAGTATTTATTAAGTGCCTAGGCTCTGTGTTAGGCACTGGGGAGATAAGTATAAAGAAAGATGCAATACCTACTTTCAATTAGCTTACATTCTAATGAGGAAGACAATGAGGACATATAAAAATAAATTTACATGCAAATTAAAACATTTCTGTGATTCTGTCTCACTCTCATCAAGTAGCGAAGATGACAAAAAAGGAAAACAATAAATTTTGGAAGGGCTGTGGGGAAACAGGTATATTGGTTCACTGTTGGTGCACCAGTGAATAAGTATAACCATTCTGGAAAGCAATTTAGAATTATACACAAAAAGTTACTAAACAGTGCATTCCCTTTACCCACCTATAACATTGCCAGGTCTATACCCAAAAGGGATCAAAAGAGAAAAAGGTCCTATATGTACAAAAATATTTAAAATAGCTCTTTTTGTGGTGGCAAAAAATGAGAAACTAAGAGGATTTCCAACAATCGAGGTATAGTTAAGCTGTATATGAATGAGATGGAATATTACTGTGCTGTAAGAAATGAGGGAATAGATGACTTAAAAAGACATAGAACTAACAAAGTGTGAAATAAGCAGAAACAGAAGAATAATTTATATAACATCAATATTATAAAAATAAATAATTTTGAAGATTTTTATAAATAAAGAGTAGAGTGAGCAGAAACAGGAAAACAATTTTACAGCAACACATTAAAAACAACTTTGAAATCTGTAAGAACTATGATCAATCCAATGACCATTCATAATTCCAGGGGAATTATCTATTACAAAGAAGTGTGGTACAGAATGACACACATACACATAGCCACTGAGGGAATGTTATGCTTGAGTATGCATATTTGTAACAAGGAATTTTCTTTTTTTCTTTCCTTTTTTTTTAATGCAGTGAGGGGTAGAAGGGAGAAAAAAATAGATTTCTGTTTATTTTTTAAAATAGAGAGGTGGTAGGATACTACAGATATAAAATATTGCATGAATGAGGTCACCATATTATTAATTTTGCTTAAATGTTTTGTTTTGTAAAGATTGCTCACAAAGTAGGAGTAATCTGTAAATGTTTAGAATGTAAAAATTAAACACATCAATAAAACTGAAAATGTATATGCAGCATAAATATAAGGTTAGTAAATGCAAATATATTCACAGTAGTTAAATACAAAGTAATTTGGGAGGGAGGATACTAGCTGTTGGCAAGTGTCAGGAAAGGCACCTAAGCTGCGGTAATGAGTCAGGTAAGGGGGAAAGCATTCCGGGCATTAGGGATGGCCAATCCAAAGCCCAGGAAATGGGAGTCAGGAGACATAGTGTCAAGTGTGAGTAACATTAGGAAAGCATATTTGGGTGAATGAAGAGAGCAGAAAGTAGAGTAATTTCAATGAGACTGGAAAGATGGGTGGGGCCCAGGTTGTATAGGGCTTTAAAAGCTATAGAAAAGCCTCTCTATTTTATCCTAAAGGCAATAGGAAGACCCTGGAGTCAGATGAAGGGGGAATCACATGATCAGATTTGTGCTTACAGAAAATTACTCAGGCAGCATTGTGTAGGATGGACTGGAATGGTGAGAAACTTGAGGCAGGGAAGCTGTTGTAATAATTTAGGTGAGAAGTGATGAAATTCTGAACTAAGGTGGTAGCTGTGTGACTGGAGGGAAGGGATCAGATTCAAGAGATGTAGAAATAGCAAGATTTGACAACTGATTGGATATATGGAGTGAGGGACAGTAAGGGAATCCAGGATAATGCCAAGAGTATCCATCTGGGAGTCTGGAAGGATGGTTTTACTTTTGACAGAAAGAGGAAAGTTTGGAGGATGGGAGGGTTTAGGGGGAAAAGATGAGCTCTGTGCACTTAGCAACACATTTCTCATGTGGCTGTGCACGGGAGAACTTGTTTGGAAACTATGTTCAAAACCAAGAATATTAGCAACATGGTGCCTGAGAGTAGACAGTTTAGGTTGGGGCTGGGGACAGAAATTGGTATTCGAAAAGAATAAAATTCCAGTGGCATGCAAAAGGCATTCTATAGATTTATGACATCTCCCCCACTCATACAGGCTATATTCAGGTTGAATCAATCAATGAGTATTTACTAACCACTTTTTTCTATGGGCCAATCCTAGGTCAGACTCTGTGAGCTGTATAAGAGAAACATGAGCATGACTGCTATCATTTTATGAGGTTACCAAAAATAGATTTAACAGAAAATGGAGAAATCAAATTTTGGCTCCATTTAATCAAATAATTAGAATTACTGAGCAATCATTGTGCTAGTTACTTTGAAGGATACAAAGAAGACTTTCTTTGCCTTCTGATAATTCTCCAGTCTAGTTGGAGACACAGAGTGGTACCTTTCTTTGATGCCAGCTGAGTGCTTATAATCTGCCATCCCAGAAGATCATCCAGTGGTTGCTGGGTGGGTTATTTTCATGGCTACTAGGAAAGAGGAGTTAAAAAGTTTCCTCTCACAGTTTAGAAAACTTCTTGTCCTCTGGGTCACATTCCTTTCAAAGACAGAAGCATACAGGTGTACCGCTATCACATAGCAAAGCAGTATAATTACTGTTCTCAACTTTTCACCTTTCCCCCAGTAAAAAGGCCCATGCAGTCCAGTAGCTACTATATAGTAACCTATTGTTCCTTCCTGCCTCACATATTCATAATTCTTGGTTACAGTTTCAATAACAAATGAAAGTATTATTTAGTCTTAACTTCTATTGTCAAATTGAAGTGGACCCTGGAAACAATTATTTGCATACTTCAACATAAACAGTCTGAATTAAGCTTACATGTGAAGGAAGCGACTGTGTAACAGTATTTTCTCTACACTATCTAACTTTGTAATTTTTGCTTACCCATTTAGAGGAAACCTGGTGCTAAGAGTTTGAAGGGATCTTAGAGATCCAAATCAATAATCATTTAAGCACCTGCTTTGAGTAAGGCACTGGCATTACAAAGATGCAGGAAATGCATAGTAAAAGGAAAATAAAGAATAATCAGATGAGTAGAAGAGCTAAGAGAGAAACGAGAATATTCAGGAAGAGAGGGTGGTCAAGAGTGTCAAATGCTGCAGAGAGGTTTGATCACTGGGAACTTTGGAGAGCAATTTCAGTTGAGCAAGGAAGTGTTGATGGCCTGGAACAATACTGAGGGAAGGGCTGGAGGTCATAGTGATGATAATGCCAGAGCCTTGCTCAAAGCAGTGTTTAAATGATTATTGATTTGGA